TGTTGATGGAAATTTGGGTTGTTTCCAACTCCTTGCAATTGTGAACTGTGCCATGATGAACGTTGGAGCACAGATGTCTGGCCGTGGTTTGTTTCTTGCCTCTTCTGGGTTTATGCCCAGTAGGGCTAAAGCTTGGGGAGAGGGGTGCATCGGATTAGAGTACATGGGAGAAATGCAAAGGGATGGAGAGGGAGGGGAAGACATCCTGGCCCACCAAGCCCCAAGGATGATGTTCCTGCTCAGAGCAGACAATGCACGCGGAGGACTATAGGGCTGGCCCCACCACGGGACACGGCATTCCTCGCTGAACCATGGTGCTCGGCTATCAAAAGCTATAGTGTCTGGGGTCTTAAAGGCTTGAAGATAAACAAGCGGCCATCTAGCTCAGAAGCAAAAAAGCTCACATGGAAGAAGCACACCAGCCTCTGTGATCACAAGGCGCCAATGGGATCGGTACCAGGCATCTAAGACCCAGAATAAAACCATACCCAAGGTGAATGAGGGGGAGAGGGGGGCATGAAGTGGAGACTCAATGCCCATCTGTAGAAAATTGGACATCCCTTCATAGAGGGGTCATAGAGAAGAGATAAACAAGTCAGGGTTCAGTATAGCACCCGTGAAGCACACAATTTTCCTCTGCTCTTTGGTGCTTCTTCTCCCCAACTATCATGACCTCAATTCTACCTTACAAATTGGATTAGACCAGAGCATGCACACTGCTATAGATAAGAGCCTGAAACACGGGGAATCCAGGATAGATTAAACCCCCAGGGCCAACAAGGAGAATAGAGATACCAGGAGGATTATGGGAGGGGAGGGGGAGAAAGGGGGAATTGATCACAAGGATCAAATAGAACCCCCTCCCAGGGGAACGAATAATGGAAAAGTGGATGAGGGGTGATGGAGCACGATGTAAGATATGGAAAAAATAATCTATAACTTATCAAGTGTTCATGAGGGAGAGCAGGTGGGGAGGGAGGGGGAAGAAATGGGGAGCTGCTATCGGGCTCAAGTGGGAAGAGAATGCTTTGAAAATGATGACGGTGGCATATGTGCAAATGTGCTTGACACATTGGAGGAATGTATGGATTGTGATAAGAGATGTAAGAGCCCCCAAAACAAATATTTAAAAATATATATTACTTTACAAAACAAAGAAAATCATATAGATCACAATGATCTGATCTACAACCGATTCTGGGGACGGCTTAGAACCAGGCAGTTCCATTGTGCACATGGTCACTCTGGGTATGATGGACACGGTGTGACAAGAGAAGCAGAGAGAGATTGGAAGATGTTACACTAATGCTGGAGTTGAACATAGAAGCAGGAGCCCGCAGCCAAGAAATGCAAAGAATCCAGGCCTATAAGCTGAAAAAGCAAGAAGGCAGATTCTGTCAGAGCGCCTCCAGGGGAGTGTGGCTCGGCCAACATCGTGCTTTCAACACAGCAAAACCCACTCAGGCTTCTGACCTGCAGAACTTTAAATGACTAAGGCTGTAAAACAATAAATTATGCTGTGATAATTTGTTGCAGCTGCACTAGGAAGTGAATACACTCATGTACGCCTGGGTCTTTTTATACCTCCAGGGGGACACATCTGTTTGGTATAGACAACGTAGAAGGCACTGCCACGTTTGCAGAACAACAGTTTCTGGCTTAAAATTTCTTTTAAAACACAGAGGAACCTAGGATACGTTATCTTTTCTTTCCTATTCTCTCCACCGTCTGCCCATCCCACACAGGCTCATTGCTGCGGCAACGTCAGATCTGCGAGATTGCAAACCTGGCCTGTGTCTGTAGCTCCCCGGGGCCCCGTGCGGATTGTGGAGGCCATGTCCATGAATTCCGTTCCTGGCCTCTCAGTTTTCTCAGTTTTTCAGTTACAAACAGACTAGAAGGTTTCTACAAACCCTTTCAATTCTTGAAAACAAATGAAAACCCCTGATAATGCTACCTTCTGCTGATGGCAGGCAACTCTAGCAAGGTAGCCAGGACTCAGAAGAGAGACTGGCTTCTAGTTTCCTGAGATGCCGAACAAGGGCCATGTGGTGCTCCTGCGGCCCACCAGCTGAGGCTTGTATTGACGAACTCCTGTCACAGGAGAGATTTCTTTTTACTGAGTTTCAAATGCACTTTATTTCTTTACCTGTGGCATGTGTTAATGGGCACGCACTGCTTTTACTTGGCATCTGTTATAAGTTGGTTTTGAAACCATTCAGGAGGACACCACCAGCTGGTTGGATTACTGTCCATTCCTTTGGGGTGACTGTCAACAGGGGAGAGGTTCCATTCCATCCCAGTTTGGGCTGCTGTGGATGTCCAGACAGCAACACAGAGCGTAGCTCCAATCGGTGCACGCTTCTGGCAGGTTTACCTGGCCATTGTCTGCGAGTGCTTCCAACATAGACTGGGGGGGGGGGGGGGGGGGGGCGGGGGGATGCGGGTGGGACTAAGGAAGCAACAGAAGATGAAGAAACCAACAGAATTGCAGCTGCTCTCCGGATGGACTCTTGTGTATTGTGACTTTCAAACTCAGAAATTCACTGGTGTCCCATTCAGAATATTCAGACCACGGGCACAGGATGCACAGAGCAAGCAGCCAGACCCTGAAAGTGAGACAGTGGCGAAAAAATAACATCAGTTCCAGAGAAGGCATCAACTCTTTCCTCTGCCTGCACGATTCCTCCTGCGCCTCTCCCTCTCTTTCTCTATGTTATTCCCATGTATTTTTCAGCTTGCAATTCAAGCCTCACTTCTGGGAATTCCAGCTTCATCTCTAAATCAAGGTTTGGCCTTGTTTCAGTATTCTCATAGCTCCTGTCCTTCACGGCATGCATCCCATTCATAACTATGTGATCTATCTTACTGACAAGCTCCAAACCCCAGGAGGGTAGAGAGTGTGGCTGTCATGTTCATCCTGTGCCTAGCACAGTACCTGGTATTCCGTAAGCGCCTGGCATCAAATGTAATGAAGGCGCCCCGCCACCCCCACGTCATCCCTGGTTTCCTTCAGATTTCAGTGCTTATGGATGCATTAGAGCTTAAATTCTTAGCACTTGGTTTGCAAAAAGCTATGATTTTTTTCCCCATTCCCACAAGTCTTTTTATTTATTAAGCAGTGAATTAGTTAGTTTATTGTGCCAACCTGGCCGATAAACACATGTGGGGTTAATCGAAGGGCGAAGAGATAAATGGCTCAGTGAGCCACGCCTTTTGAGTTCTTGGGTCTTTTGCTTTCTGATGGTCAGACCAGGGTGAAGCTGTCTTAGCCAGTTCCCTGCTTCAGCTGGCAAGGCTCACTTCCTGCAAGACATCTCCGAGGAGAAGCCGCATGGACCTACCCAGATGCAGCCC